AAGCTCGGTACTTTATCCTGGGTATAGAAGAAACTCAACTTGTTCAAACTGCACAGAAAAGATGAGCCTACATACTCAAGCACAGCTAAGAGAGTCAAAGCCAGAAGCCTAACTTGTGCATCTTCAGTGAATTAGTACAGAAATTAAAGCAAATCTGATCTTTGAGACAATCTTCAAACTGCACTGCAGCCTTTTCAAGTACACTAACCACAGCATCTATGCAGTTTAGCAAAGCACTGATATACAGTAATATAACTCCAAGACTCTGAAACAATGGGATTATGAATTAATGTTATGATATGAGGCATGTACATGCAGTCACCAGATACTGATTGGGAACTGCCATTTGCTCCTCTGAATCAATTCTTCTAAGGGAGATTTAGAAGTAAAGCCTTCTCTTGGAACCCACATCAACAGCCACTGGAGACAACAGAATTTTTTCCAATGTAATTCAGTGCTGTCCTTTGAAAATATTCAGGTAGGACTTCTTCTGTTTGCAGAATCCAAAGGGCTGTCAAAAAAAGCTCTTTCTCCTCTTGTTTCAGAAAGAACTTTAGGATTTTAAGGCTAACTCTTATCATTAAGCTGTAGTATCCCACATGCTGTCCATCCATTTTTTTTGGTTAAGCTTATTTGATGCAGTATATTACTCAAAATGATTTGGAGCTGTAAGAAGTGTTACAATAGTGAAGATTCCTGAATAAATAATTCTCAATTAAGTGTTAGCACCTAATTATATTAACTTACAGTAATTACTAATTCAATTATGAATTGAAGATTAACCTGAAAATACAGACTGGCTAATTTATTTTTATGATAACTATACACTAATAGCACATGCAGTTGGACTTCTTTGTGTGCAAGCAAGGTAAGGGCTATTTTAACACTCATTTAGGAAGCTAGATAATCTTGCAACACTTGAAGAAAATATGATGAGAATATGTACTGAAATGTGTCTGAAACAACATTGTTTGATTATTTTAAAGTCTCAAATATGTTGTACAGCTGTAGCAGAAGAAATAGACAGGACTTGCTGTTATCTGTTATTATGGTTGTATATATTTTTTTCCCAGTAAAATTTGAATGGGGTGTTTCATGTCAGAATCTGACTTCTATAGTAAGTAGAAAACACAAATATCCACAAACACACTTGTATTTTGTTTTGGCAAAAGGGAGCTAGAACATTTTACGATTCAAGTTTGGGTAGAAGAGAAAACAGATTCAATTGTTAGTTTAAAGGATTTTAGTGAAGTAGTTAGGGAAAGCTTCTGAATATTAACAGTGAGGTAGGGAAATAGGTTGTCTGACTGCTGTGAAACCTTGAAGATCTTTAAAAGCAGTGCAGAAGGTGAAGGTGACACAGCTAAAGCTTGCTGTGGGTCAGAGAAGATCAACAAGATAAGCTCCTGAGTTCCCTCTGGACCTCAGATTTTATGTGAAATCAGAATTGCAGTGTCTGACTTCTCTTGTAATCCCATGATCATGTATATTCCTGAAGGTAATAAAAGAAGTTAAAAGCAAACACTCATTTTAGTACATTGTGCATAGCAGAATAACTCTTCTAACTTCCATATTCTGTGACTAACAAGAGTTTTGTCAGGGATTTGTCCAATCGTATGACTAAAAATCTAACAGCTTGCCTTAGAATTTTAAACAGGTAATTTCTCCCCAGTCAAAATTTCAGGGATCAATTACTTATTGTATTACTTACAATAAATATCACGATTCTAAACTACAAAGGTAATTGTATTTGTGAGTGGTGTGTGTAGCACATTTAAAAAGTAACAAAGCAGTAAAGATTACTTCACGTGTACAGATTATGTATTATTTGTTAGTGTGTCACTTCCAGTATTCTTTCTTCTCCAAGTGAAAGTATAAAAAACATGTGATTAGCTATGACATCTTACGTGTTAGCTTTTACCCAGATAAATGTCAGATTTAGATAATCCTATGGGATCTATGCTTCAAATGCTTAGAAACCAGATTCTGGAAGTTTAAGAAAATATATACATACATATTATTGAGATTAGTAGGCCCAATACCACAGTCCTGCAATAATAATGTATGGAGCAGGATTGAGTGTAGCAACCATCTCCAAAAACCTCCTATGTGAATTACTCAAAGCCAAGTGTATGGTAAAGGGGAATGGATTATTTAGGGAAGACTGTTAAATAGATCACTTCTCCCTAATCCATCTTGCTCCTGGCATGTATATTTATTTCAGTATCACAAGAAAGGAAATTTGTAACTAAAGTTTCCATGCGAATACCAATGGTTTATAAGCCCAGACACTTCTCTGTACTAAGAGGAGTTCCTACAACAGATGAACTTCCATGGCTCATTGTGGGCTAAATCTCAGCTTCTGTTCTGCAGGCCTTATGAAGTGTCACATTTATTTGATAGACCATTCTTGGAACCTGAAGTTTGCAGGAGACTTTTGTAATTAATCTTTAGGCATTCTATTTATTTTACAAAATTACTTTGCCTTTTGAATTCTGTCTTTTTAAGGCACAACTGAAGTCAGTGCATTATGACACTGCCGTAAATGGAGAATTATAGGTCTTGTGGAGCACCACAAGAGATATGGTTTTATCTGCAAACCTGCTCAGAGAGCTGCTCTATACCCAGAATTTTTTTTATCACATCTCACTTTGTTGTATAAGAAAGTGGTAAAAGTCCAGACCCTGTCAGTTTGTTCTTTTTGCCTTTCCTCATCAGTTCAGATCTAGGAAAGTATGAAGAATTCAAAGATAATTAAAAAAATAATAATAATAAAAAAATGAAGAAGCAAAATTCCTTGTACAACCCCAGAAAATTTCACAGGAGTTTTAGAGCTTTGAATGTAGATGGATTGTTTCTCATTTAAAGAGAAACATGAGATTACTCATCATAATACAGTTAGGAGTTTACATGAGAGCTCACTCTCAGCACTACTTTCATCCTGCTGCTCTTGCTTCATGTGACCCATTACTCTCCTCATAAACACAAAATATTTTAAGAAATGTGTGAGAAATGCAAGAAATCGTGTATGAAATAAGTGTAGGAGTGGAAATCAAGCTTTACAATATGGAATAGAACTTGATATAGCATTTGCTGAAGAAGTAGCAGCAGCAAACTTAGTGTTGTAGTTGAACCCTTCTTTTCCCATTGCTGATGATTAACTTGCAAAAGACACCTGTTTGCTAACTAAGCACAGCTGCACAGATCTCCCTTCTGATCCCATCATCTGCAGAATGCAGAAGCCAGCTGAACAAAACCTTTGCACGCTCAGGAAACAATACTTACTTTGCCAAGTACTGCCTGCAACTCAAAAGAAGCATTGATCCTTTGGTCTTGACTGGCAGCACTGGATTCAATTTGGGACCCTAAATGGACAGGCCAAACAGTTTTGGTTTTTCTGAGGTTCATCAAGGACCTGATGCAAACCAGACTGTTTTATTCACACACCAAAACAGTCAACTCTGGGAGAATCAACCCTGCTTTCATAATGAAAGAGTGGGCATCAAGGAAGGTGCAAATCTTGAAAACAAACACTGAGAAATCCACATCAGATATAAAGCTGTGCTGCGCTTAGTGTTCAATATAAAGAAAGCATGTGATTAGAGATTTTGTACACTTTGAAACATATGTAACTAGATATAGTAAGAATTTACAGTGGGAACACTGAATTTAGAATTTAGAGTGCTCAGCACTGATTCAAATAGGCCCTTATCAAAACATTCATTTCCTCAGCAAAAAAGAAACAGACCCATGTTGCACAGCTTTAAAGAAAAAGGAGATGAAAGTATACTGAGCTCTTCAACTATATTCACTGTTAAGAGATAAGGGAAAATATAGTTGATATCTCCAACTCTTGAACCGTATCCTTCTCTTAAACTGACTCGGGTAAACTGCAAAGAGGCAAGTAACTTTTAATGAGAAGGGAACAGGATTCTGCATGTTGCAGCACATCTATTTTTTTCTAGCAACATTCCAAAGCCAGAGCTGTTGGAAAAAGTTACTGTTGAAAAATAAGGAGATACAATAAAACTATGCTAAAATCTGATAAGTTATGATGATCTGCCTGACACTGTGTACAAACAAGAGGAAAACTTTCCCAAAATGCTTCTTGATTTGCATCCATTAATTCCTGTTTTATTTAAAGTAGTGTTTTTCTCAATGAATTGTTTATTTCTAATAAAAGACCGGCTAGGATCTTTTTTTTTTTTTTTCTTAAATGCACATTGTTAACAATATTCAGTAGCCTCTTCATCTCCCAATACATGCTCTGATCACCTTATCTATTCCAAAGAATCTCAGTGTTATTTGGAAATTTAATTGAAAACAGGGCATGTCAGCTTACACTGCAACCTTTGTTTTTGAAACCATCTGTACATGCCAACATGGTGCAAGTGTTTAAAACAGAAGTGAAGGTTTGGTTGTATGCCTACGGGCAAACAAAATTGCCTAACATGGAATTTGGCCAAGATTGAAAACTAGGTTTACTGTCCAGCTCTTATTATTGCATTCCCATGTTAGCTTGAATGCATGATAATGTTTTATTAGGCATCAAAATGAAAGGAGCTACAAAACAATTGTGTGGTGTCTTTAAGAGTTTAAGTACTCTAAAATATTCATTTGATGTAGTTAAACACAAAGAAATAAGGGTAGGTACCCAGTTCCAGCATCACGTTATTATTTTACTGATTTTTAGCTTTTAAGGGATCATCTCATCAGATGCCTAGCTATAGGCAGTCCTCTGAGTATAACCTGGCGTATTCCTAATGCATTGCCCAGGGTAAAATGAGTTGACAGTTGTAGCTGCAGAGTCCCAGGATATTGGAAGAATCCCAAGCTGGTCACTCAGCTTACCTGTATGGCCTGTTACAACAGAGACTATTGCAGAGTACATTAAGGCATCTTAAACACAGCATGAGGCATTACAGATAGAATTCATAATGATGCTGTGGTTTAATAATTTTTTTTTAAATGAAACAATGAATTGTGTTTACTTTCCCTAGTTATAAAGGGGGAAGAGAGAATTCCTGAGTTGCTCCAAAAATGTAAAGCTGGATCAGCAGTAAAAGATGTTGAAGCAGCAGCATTTCCCTGAGAAGCAGCCAACTTAGAAGTGGAATATGGATTAGTGTCATCAGGAGCAGCAGCAAGAGCTGCACAGGCAGTCTGATGGGGGTACTTTCCTAGCACATCATACTGCAGTTGAACAGCTGAGCCACTCAGAATACCACAGCTGAAAAATTTTGTCCAGAATCATCAAACAGATTTGCACCCTCTACACTCTGAATTTATACAGGTTACTGAATAAAGATGAATGAATATCTTACATAGTTGGTATAATTTTGATCTTCATAAAATAAAAATGTAGTTCTACTACTGTATGCAGCAATGGCATGAACTACAGTTTGATATTCCATAGAGTATCTCTGTAGAAGTCTAATCTCTTGTTGGGAAAGGAAAATAAAAGCTCCTCTTAAACAGTCCTGTCAATCTTTTCTTCAAATTCTGCTGTAATTGGGAAAACTGTAGCTGGAAAGTCTCTAATGTATTCAGATACAAATGGGAAACACTCAATTAATTTTCTCTTTTAACATGTAATCTAGTGATTACCTAAATAGCATCATTAATTGTAAACTAACATGAAATGTGCTAGAAATTAGTCTTCAACCATAAATTCTGTGGTCATATTCATTTCTGTCTCTGTGTTTAAATGGCGGCATTCAGCAAAACTGCAGGGAGTTCCACGTATCCACCTCTCTCAGTGGAAACTGGGGAGCAAATCTAAAAGTTATGAAGGCTCTGATTACAGAATGACTGATAGTCCGACTGCAAAGACTATTTGTCTTCAGAAATATGAAACATCAACTAACATTTGTACCTTATGATTTCGAAGTGGCTGAAGATGTTTAAGTTGCACGTACTCACTAATGTATGTTGTCAGTTTAAAAATGCTCTGGGTAAGTATAGGGCAAAGTGACATCCCTTTAGTAGGCTCAGTTTAAAAAAAAAAAAAAAAGCTCAACATCTCAGTTTGCCTTCTGTGATGTCTCAAGGAAGGCAAATGAAATCATGAGGACCAAAAGTGATGGCATACTTTTGAAAACATAAGCTTCTATTTCCAAAGCACAGGATATTATTCCTGCTGATTTCAGACACAAAAAAGCCTTAGTTATTCACCACATATACTCAGAACCACATGTATTGTTTCTTTGCTCTCATTTAGATTAGTTTCTCACCATCTCTTTATTTCTATCACTTGAGTTTGCTCCTTTTGTGTTGTTACAACCATTCTAAAAAAGTTGAAGAATTCAAAATAAAGAGTTTTCCAATATGAAAATCTACATTATTTACCATTATCAAAAGACTTCCATGCTACCTAAGGAGGTGGTGGTTCTTCTTTTTGTAAAAGAGCATTGAGGACTTCCTTGTGTTCTCCTTCAGCTTAAAGTGAAATAGTTTTCTAGACAACAATGAAGAGCATAGCTGTGTGAGATTTTAAGGTGGAGGTGCAGTAAATGCCTTATTATTCACTGAATGTCCATTCCGGGGTTTACAATTATTACTATACTACTATCTAGCATGTCCTGTGAGTAGATGAAAAATAACACAATTCCTAATTTTAATACTAAAGAATAGCTCTGACTGGAGCTCATTTACCCAGTGGATTATTCCTTTACAAAACTAGGAGGCATGTCAAATTTTTTATCCCCACCCTACAAAAGGAAAGACTGAGGAACCAAGACTATACAACCTACATGATCTCTAGGTGGTATCAATAACACAAGCAAGATTTCATAACTTCTAAAAGTTCTTACACTACCTGGCCAGTCATCTCAAATTGTGACCTCAGCTACTTGTAAATAGTCGAATTGACCATACAGTCCTAATAACTATGTATTTTAATTAGTCAATTTGTTATGCTAATTACAATCTTAATCTGAATTCTGTGTGTGTAATAAAATTTAGGCCTACCCCAAATATGTTTTTCAGAGCAGAATGCAATTTTTAATTTCCTGACACTGTGCAAATGTCAGAAGAGTGTTACTGTGATCCCCATGTCTTTTAATATGCCCTAAAGATAACTGAATCAAGATGAAAAAATCCTTGACCCATAGGCAACCTCATTACCCATACTGTGTGCCGTTCATTTCCTAAAGACTGTTCCATATGAGTCAAATTATCTATATTCTATGTATACCATAGAAAAATGTCTATTTTCCATCCGCTATGTTTCCCCCACCTCTAAATGGTACTCCCCCTGTTGGTATAATCAAAAGATGGCCACTTGTCCACCAAAGTATAATAAACACCTGCCTTCACGTATTTCATTCAATACTTTTAGCAAAGCACACAAAAACTGAACACAGTTGTTATATACTCTTAAAAAGGAATTAGGACTTAACAGTTAGCTACCTATTTTGTTCTAAAATTCAACAAACTCTGAGAAAATCTCTTTTTATACAATCTCCTGGATATGTCATTTGCCATTTATATTTGATGGCCTTAAGGAAAAAAAAGTTACAAAAAGGTATTAATGCAAGTAGATAATAAAGCTGCATTCTATAAATCTATAGCAGCTTACAGTAATCATTAAAGCATGCAAAACTCTTTCATCTATTCAAAAATATGCAGTGCACAGAATGCCTGCTAAGGTGCATGACAAGTCAGAGTTAAATATATATTAATAAATGAATTAGCTTCATAAATAATAGCCATAATGACATTTTAGGAGACAATAAGTCTGAGGATTGTCAGAAAATGGTTGATGTATGAGCTTCACGTCTCAGTGATTCTTCAAAATGAATAGGCTTTGCGAGATAGTTCAGACCCACGACCAGCCTATTTCCTTGAATAATTTACTTGTTGTCAATTTGTACAGCCACATTACACATGCAAATTGTGCTGCCTGTGCAAACACCACTTGGAGATGATAAAAACAAATTTACGAAGGCTATAGAGGAAGGATTTATTTCACTTTCTCGCCCAGGTCAAGCAATACATGTATCTGACGATTGTGTGTACCCAATTTTGTTGTAATTATATCAGCAAATTATTCTTTATAATCTTATTATTTTTAGCAGTCTCCTTGTGCTTGGGATAATTAGCTTTCTTCACTCAGTGTAAAAACAATTCAACTTGCCAGCTAGGCAGGGCACAGCTCCATTATCTGTTTTGGGTTTAAATTTATTCCCTATATTCTTGGACACTTTGTGTAAATTAAAAATTTCATAGTCCCTAATACTGTACACGCTGTTCATTCAGTGATGAATTAAGGTCCCTAAACCTCTACGTTTGCTATTAGATATCTCACCCACTTTATATGTTAATCTGTGCTAATGAATTCCACAACCCCTAGCCACAGCGAGATGACTAAAATTATTACCACTTACAGAGATATGCCTTTTTCATTTAAAGTTCAATTCAAATTGCTCCCATAAACAGTCTGCCACACAAAGATACCTCCTTTAAAGAAGAGTTACTTACCTGTAAGTAGAGTTCTCTGAAGGTAGTATTATCTTTGGATACACATTCCTCAGGCACATGACCTCTGGTTTGTGGCACGGGGGAGTGGATCCACCCCTTGATAGTTAAGACTTTTTCCTTAACGCACTTCATTAGCTTGATGGCTCCCGTGCCTCAAGGGTTATTTGTGCCATATCCTGGCAACACAACTGCCCACTGTCTTCCCAGGTAGGCCCTCAGCCAGCTCAAAGAGCAAAGATGCTCCTTAGTGAGGTGGCTGCCATGCCAACAGAGCATCTGCACTGGAAGCCTGGTACTCAACAAGTTTCAAGAAAGTGTTTTCCCTCACAAGACTGCTACCTTGAAGCCTGTCATTCAAGGTAAGTATTCCAAATCAATGAAAATGAAGCATGCAGAAGGCAACAAAAAACTTACCTGTGTAGCACAGCTCAGCTGCCAGCTTGCCCACAGTACAGCTACCTGACCTTCAGAGAGCCTGGATACACAGCTGCAATTCTGCTGCTCTGAAAAGAAAACAATTTCAATACGACAGTTTCCCCAATAACGGAAAACAGCAATACCCTCTACTGAGCAATTGTGTTTCAAACCAGTAGAGGGCATTGGTACACATAGAGCCTATACAGATTCATTTCAATAGCTTGAAAAGTCAGACGCTGTTTATATAAAGGAAACAATAGCACGTTTCAGACAGTGTACACAGCAGCAAAACTAACCTCTCCATGTAAATTTCACACAGAATAACATAATAAAGATAAAGATTCTCAAAAAGATTTCTAATTATATAGATCTTTATTGAAGTACAAATAGTAAACTAATTGATTTGTAATCAATAGCCCTGAAAAGTAGTTAAAATAGAGTTGTTTGCTTCACAAACTAAAATAAGAAAGACTTGTTCTAATGCTATATCTGTGGGTCACAGAAAGGAACTCCTTGCTGTAATTCTCACCGTTGTGCTTCTTAATGCCATCTAAACCAATACGCAAAGAAAAACTCTGCAAAATGTTTGGAAAACTGCTCTGTGACTTCCCTTGGGTCGATAATATTTAGCATTTAGTGCAGACAGGTATTTCTCTTCTTTTGCTGCAGCAGAGCAAATTTCACCAGGACCCCAGTACAGCATATGGAGTTTGTGTCCACAACAACAAAACCTGGAGTAATCTGAGTAATGAATAGAAAACCTTGCAGCAAGGGTGATATCTTCGTTGTGATGAAATATATGATGCAGATTTCATATAAACTTATGCTGTACTCAAGATAGCATGCAGCTGGTCATCCGTTGTCTGGTTATACGCTGCTCTCAAACAAGCAAATTTAGAAATATCTCAAATTTAGAAATACCTGGTCTCATCCAAAACCAAATGAAGCCAGTGGAGATCTTTCCACTGACTTTAAAGGGCTTTGGATCAGGGCTCAGGAAAGGGCCTGCCTGGATTACTGTCATACTTTCAAGGAGGTAAAGAGAGCTCATATTACAAAACATCATTACTACTTACAATATATACTGTAGAATATTTACTAATATACTTTAATGTACTGTCTTAGATAATGTTCTTTGGAGATTTCCATTAATTTTCTCTATGATGGTTCTTGTAATGTTTGTTTAGCAAGAATTAATTTGGTTCTTATATGGCACAGTATGTGGAAAAAAAAAAAAGAGACACTATAATCCTTTTAACTGACTTTAAATGCTCATTTGAATATAATTATTTTAAAGGATTAATAAAAAGTATTTTTAAGTTAGCAATGAATTAAAAGTTTAGGAAAAAAACAGAGGTTATTTTATTGTCTTTGCATCTCACTTTAAAATCATATTAATTTTCCTTTCCAATACTATTTTACTGTATTAAAATATAATCATGCTGGAAAAAATTCTCATTATGTTAGCAAAAATGAATACAAGGTAGATAGTATACTAACACAATGACTGTAATCTGCTAATACAATAAGGCCTTCCTATTATGATTAAGCAAGAATTCAGTTCTTGATCATTTTGACATATTTCCAAAACACTGTCTCAAAAGGATAAAATGCAGCATATTTTCATGCTTAAGGAAAAGGTCCTGATGTCCTCATTTCTTGCTAAAAACAAGAAACAGCTAATAGTGCATAATTTATCTTGTAGCAGATTCTATTTCTGTATTAGGAAACCATTTGCATATATTTTGTGGAAATAAGCATGTATATGATTACTTGTGATTAGCTAATCATGGCTTCAAGCATGCAGCTGAGAAAATAGTTTAGTTGCTTCCACTATGTTCTGAAGTCCAAAGATCTGAGCTTCAACCAGTGCTTTGGAGAGAATTCAACCTGAGAACTTGGCCCTGGGGGCTAGAATGCACATGGGCATCATCTGTTCTGATGTTGGACAAATTTGATCACTCTTGTTAAAGTTAGTAATTATGAGAGTGTTTCAAAAAGAACCCAAGGAATACTTTCCAGTATGGTCAGATGTATTACCTTGAGACAACAGGAATATGAGGTTCCTGCTGCATTTCAAACAGTCAAATTACACTTGATGTTACACTTAATTGCAATAGGTCTTCCTTCAAGTAATTTTTAATTATAGCACCAAAAATACTGAACCTAGGAGTCAGACTAGTTTGATGTTCCATAGGATTTTCAGAGGCATGACTTATTTCATTCATAATAGTCATTATTGGCAGGTCCCCAGAGCAGAAATTGAAGTGAAAAAGGAAGCTGGATCAGTTAATCAAAAGGAAATAAATCGTATAATTTGAAAATTCATTAAAGGAGGAGTAGAAAACTGGCTTGAGAAGAATTCAACATTGAAGCAAGTTTTGGATACAATCAGCCCTAGGGAAGTGTCAGTGTTGGTTACAAGGCTGCCTTCCCTGCTTGTTTTTCCTCATAAAAGGATTCTGCACACATTGTTTCAACAGCAGCAGCAACAACAGTACCAAAATAAAATTGGGTAAGTTGCAAATTCTTGTAAATAACCAACCTTGTGAACTGTAGCTTCAGCAGTCACCGACCCTTTGAAGGCAAGTGCTTCTGGGGCACAGAAAGCAAAGGAGGAATTCTATCAATGTTTTTTTTATCTGTTTCTTCTGTGAGAAGTCAGAATCTGCTCAGCTTTTTAAATTATAAGAATTGCAGGTGAACAGATCTTTAAAGGTCACTTCCAACTCCAAGGATTCTCTGATTCTATGATCTTAGTACTGCATTTGTGTGATCTACCTGTGCCAACATGTACCAGAAACAGACTGTGGATGCTAAATCAAGATCACAGCCTTTGGATACAAACTGTGACATGAGATGAAACTTGCTCTTTCCAAATGTGTCCCTTAAAATCAATATACAGTAGCAATATATTTATCAGTTAACAATTATCTGTATACCAAATGCAACCAAGTATTAAACGTAAATAAAATAAATCTCTTAAAAATTGATTTCCCAGATGAGAGGAAAAACTAGTTAGCAAGCTGAGTGTGAAATTTACATGTAGTTCATGAAAAAGTGATTACTTACGGAATTAATTGATTTCAGAAATGAAACTGAGGATGTAATATCATAGCATAGAAAGGAAGTGAATTGGGAGATCTGTTTTACATCTACGAGAAAGGTGTTTGTCTTTCCTTCTATGCACAGCCAGTCCCAGAAGGTGACCACGCAGCATCCTACTCACCTTGGTGATCCGAGGTGATCCTACTCGAAGTTCCTGCTGTCTGCCTTTATCCCTCCTAACACTGGAATTCACGCCCCTTTCTCACCCCCCTCACATCTGAATGTTTGTCCACAAGTAAGCTGTGTCTTGGTGCCAGTAATTTCTTTCTCAGAGGCCTCACGGCTGAGATAACTGGTCAGCTGCAAGCCCTCCTCTCTTTCAGACACATTTCAGTGCCAGTGATCTCTTCATCTTCGTTGTATCTTTTTCTTGTTATTTCTCTATGCCACCTTTCCTGACACTCCCTGCACATGAGGCTTCATGCCAAACCACATACCAGCTGCTGCTAAGCACTTGTTTCATGTCTCACCTACATACACTGAAAGGACAAAGAATAGAAACTTCCATATGAGCTATGTGCTTTACTGAGTGCTCTCCAAACAGTCGGCGTTTGCCTCTGAGACATCTCACATGCTGTTAATCGGTTCATAGTGACTGGTTTCCAGGCACAGAGGCATTTTTTTCACATTCTTGGTGCTGTTTAAGGGAAATTCAAACTTTGCTGGAACGAGGTGGTTTGAGACTTTCCATTTACCATGTAAATATGAGACAAGTCAGGGAATTTTAAAAAGATTTCTCATCCATGAAGAAAAGGTTTGCAACCTTAGTCACTGTCCCACTCCAAACATTTGGTTATTGTGCAAATGAGAAGGTTTAGCTTTGAATACCTTCCATACTCCTCTATCACAACTAGGAACACCGGAAAGTGACTTGTTTTTCTCTTGAGTGCACGGCTGTTATTCCGAGAAGTACATTTAAATTGCATATGTGGGGATATGAGACCAATCTGCATCTGTCCCGGCTGCAGCAATGTCACCCCACCACCTCAGCGTTGCACGGCACTGCACTGCCGCGCGCCCAGCCCCGTCGCAATGAAGCACATGGCGGCCGGGAGCAGGGCAGCAAAGCGCCCGCTGATTGGCTGCGGGGCAGAGCCCAATCAACGGGCGGAGTGTTCCGGGGTGCCAAGATGGCGGCCAGGTAAACACGGGCTGCTTCCGCAGCTGGCGTTGGGGTAGCGGTGAGGGCTGTGCTGCGAGGCGTCTGTTTTTCCTGTAGTCCTTTTGTCTCTCTGCTCTGGAGCAGCGCTGCGCCCCTCCTGGCTCCTTTATTGAGCGGGCTTTTCTCCCCGTCCTCCCGCTTTCGAGATTCGGCCCTTCCCGCTCGGTGGTGCCGTGGGAGGTTTGCGGATGCTCGTCTGCTGTCCCGGAGAGGCGTTGCTGCTGTGTTCTGCTTAAAGCTGGGAAGCTTCTGTAAACAAGCCTGAAGTGAGAAAACTTTAAGGAATAAGAAAGGCGAAAAAGAAAAAAAGAAAGGCGTACTATCTTTAATCTGTGTATGTCAGTCCTCTTCTTAACTTGCCTCTGAAGTTGTAAGTACTAACAGCTTTATAAAGAGCTTGTGTAAAGCGCCTCGGGAGAAGTGTTTCTGTTATTACATTCTGGTGTTTCTGACTCTGTTGGCTGATGGTGGTTTTGTCTCAGAACAGGTGTGCTCACATGACTCCCAGTACCTTGGCCTTGCGTGAAGATGTGGAGCGGTCTGTTACCTCCAGGACTGAATGAAAGTGATGTTGACTTGAGCTCTGAGAATGAAGAGGAGTCATGCATTTCCTGTTTGAAGGAAGAACATATAAAGGAAGATGCAGAAAGAGTTCAGCTTCCTGAATTGCAGGAGGGTGGACCTGAAAGTAATGCCATCACTAAATCAGTTTTGATATCCGTGACAGATGGAGAAAACACATCTGAAACATGCCCTGCTGGAATTCCTTTAACTATATGGAATGTGGGTATCGTAGCATGGCTTTAAATACTCAGAGCTTTTTTTTAAATTTAAGCAACTCAAATTTGGGTATTTTAGGTATACCAATGTAAAATGAAATGCTGTCACAATAATATACATTAGATTACGTCAGGTAGAATGAATTTAAATGGGAAGGAAGACAAAGCTTGCTTTTTTTTTTTTTTTTTTTTTTTTTCTTCTGTGCAGCAGTGATTAAAAGCACAGCAAGGAAATGTTTGGGTAGCTACTTAATTGCACAAATACTTGTGTTTGTGGTAGTATGTGAGTTCTGAGCTTCCTCATAATTGGTTTTTGTATGTTTATAGCTAAGCATGTTAGTCACTGTACTGCTGATTTATACCTGTGAAGTAGAGCTATACCTTTCTGCTTTGTACAGGGTTTAGGTGTAGGTATCCGTACACATAACTTCTTATAGCCTCTCTTTATTTTTCTTGTTGCATGTAAAAACTTGCCTGATGTGCAAGGAATATGCTGTCAGTAATTTTGGATTCTAAACTGCTGTTTGTGCAATTTCAAGCTGTTACATAGCCTAGGAGTGCACATAAGCATATTCAGCATTGTGCTCCTTGAGAAAACTATTTTGAATACTTCTGGGACTTAGAGAGGGCAGAAAGTCAATGATATTGGTGATAAAGTGATAGAGCTGATGCCAGTTTAACTCCATCAGGGTTGGATGCTCTCTGCATAAGTTTGAATGTAATAAATACAGGAAGCTACAGTGGATAAGTGAGATATTGGGACAACGTTTATCAGCGTTCTATGTAACTTTTTTTTTTCTAAAGAAAATTAGAAAATACCGATCTTTGCTTTTTCTTAATCTTGTAGAAGTTTTTGGAGCTTCAGAAGAAAAACCGTGAAATGAAAGTGGAAGCAAATCAGGGGAGCAGAGGCCGAAAAAGAAAGCGGCGCAGAAAAGGTGTTTTGCATGATTCCTGACCTTATTTTTTGTAAATGAAATTAGTATTAAGTACATTGGAAGTATGTTTTTAGCTTTCACCAATACTTGAATGCCTGAATAGGTGTCATCTGATATCTAGGATTTTCTCTTTCTAGTTGTTACACATCCATTCTAGACCTAGACTGTAAATTGCTACTTAAAATATAAGTTCTTTTTAAAGAGGGGGCAGAATTTATTCAGTCAGTACTGACTTTGAAAGGCTGGGCATGTTTTCAGTACATTATTTCATACGTTACTTTGTCTGTTCTGATCAATGCTTTTTGATAAATATTGTAGGAGGTTCTTCAAATGAAAAGCCTCACAGCAGAGTAGTTTAAATCCCCCATGAGCATTCAGTACAGGTCCTCCTGTGACAGTCTTTCAATGGGAACATACTCTATTAGTGATCTGTTAACTGTATTGGATGCAATAGGGCATTGCTGTGTAACTCTGGACTTTTTTTTTTTCTTTTTTAGAAAAACTTGAGAAGGACAAAAAAGAAGTGACTAAGAGGTATAACCAATATATATGTCAATGTGATTATATCAGGTCTGTTTTTAATATCAAGCAAAACTTGTAAGAAGTGTAGCCAAAGACTGGCTTTGAACGTTGTCATGGTAAATATGTACTGAAGTTGTTTGGTGTCTGTCATGCAGACTGAATTGAATTCTAGTGATAGCTTATTGCTTGATTTAAAATAACAGAATGGTATTATTTAATGCAACTTAATATTAATTTATTGTTATTCTTAATGGTGTTTGTCATGTAATTGCATACGAGCTCGCTTTCAAGATAATGGCATTGTGGTTACAGAGGAAAAGGAATAACTTGCATCAGAAAATGTCAGGTGAAAAGAGTGCATCTGCCAAATAGAAGAGTTTATTTTAGTTCTGAAAAGAACATTGCAAGCTGTGGGAAACAAATTGGTTATATTAATGAGTTTTATTTTTTGGTTTTTAGTAGTCAGCAGTTGACCAATGAAGACCACTGGAAAGAACTTACACAGTACTTTGGAATCAATGATAGATTTGAATCACCTGTGGATAGCAGAGCTCCACAAAAGGTGATTGTCATTACAAAAGCCATGTCATCTTTTTTTTGATAGTAAAAAAAGGCAATGTTAACTGAGAGAGCAGTAAAACTGAGTCTAATCAGAAGTAAGCGTATGACCAAGTCACTCTGAGGAAGAATAATTTTGTGCATATTTTTAAATGAAATTTCCTTTTTGGTGTCATGTAAGTATTACTTGAATTGAAAGATTTCCAGATGGTATCCGTGCCTCTTTCCTTTCTTGGTTTTGTATTCTATTGTGTTGAGGAACAAAAGGTTTGATGTGTACTGTTTGATTACAGTGACCTTTCATTGTGTTTTAACTCTAGTGTTCCAAATCAGTCCATTAGTTGAAACCAGTAGCTCTTTGAATCAGGGGACTGAATCTACCATGAAGTTTTACTAAATTTACAACACAGTTGATAACTGTTGCTTTATAACACGCCATATTTGATGTTACTGATAGATCATGATAGATGTGTCAGGAGCTTTAAATATGATGAGCTTGTTCTGTAGTTTTACTGTAATGGTAACTACAGTTAACAAGGTTACTACAGTAACCTTGTTACTTTTAAGACATCAAATATTCAGTTGGCATCCTTTATCACAAACTTTCTGTTTTTCATTTGTTTAAAGTAAACTTCTGCATTGACAGTGATGATATTAATCAGTTCTGTCTGAGTTCTGACTTTTGGTGGGCATTTACTTGTCATTAAACTGCTCAGTATAGATCTGGACTGAGGCCCGACGTGCTACAGCTGTTCTCCATTTAAGTTGTGATTTAATTTCTAGAGGAACATGTCTCATTAATTTCAGAGAAGGCATTTAAGAGTTGGCTTTTCATTTGTGCACTCTGTTAACTTTCATCTGAATAATTAAGTGTTCTGTTTCTCAATAATTGTTTGCTTTTCTATTTGTTAAAGTATTTATTATGAAACCAACAGAATTGTTTTCTTTAGCATCGCTAACGCTTAAAAGCAGTGAGTCTGTAAAATGTCTCTTGTGATTGATGAATGAGTTTTTTGTGAAGTTCCAAAGTCAGTGCCAACTGCTATGCTATCCTTTTGGATCCTTTCAGAAACTTCCAACTATGATTTCCATTAAATGTTTTATTGTTCTGTTAATTGTAAATGTCATGAAGTGAGTTATGTTGATCGTAAAGGTTGAGTTTTGAACTGTTTTCATTGTTTTCCACAGGATAACTAGAATTCTGAATTTATTGGTGTAGTGGAGTGGCATCATGCCAGAACTCAGTTTTTGGATAAAGATAAGATCTTAGAACTGTAACAATACAGTGGTAATTGCCATTCTTTGTGTTACCTGACACATACACTTCACATTTTGTTTAGAAAGCTCCAGGGATGGAAGAGATAAGCCAGATCTTCAGATGATTTTTATTGTGACAGGCATAAACTAGTCCGTGTAATTTTTTTAACCTACAGTATTATCCTGCACATAAGGTGGAACTAATGCAATGATTTGTGCTCAGGCAGTCTTTCAGTGAATTCTTAATTATACTGTCCATTACAATACATAGACAAAGTGATTTGTGTTTCAAAGAAATTACAGGTTCATGCAGTGTCTTCATTTTAAGACTTCTGTTGAAATTATTTTTTAAAAGGAGATGCTTCCTTTAGATGTATTGCTTTTCTGTTTATTTGCTCTAAAGGTATTTGCTTTTTTCTTTCTAGTCTGGCCTGGAACTTAGCATAGAGAAGTCTGTGGCTGAAGGTGACATTGATAAAGCTGAGGAGCTGAGTGACAGATTAGCAACTCGTGAGGTAAGTGGTCTATTAAAAGCTTTTAGGGGAAAAAAAAAGTTTTGGACATCTATGTGTTTTTTTATTATAAAAAAGTTGCAGATAAAGTAGCATTGAAGATTGCTTGGGACATCCTTTCTGTTTCCTAATTAGATTTATCAATGATTGAAGGATTTAGCTGCTGATCCAATAATATTTGGACAAGTGTAGCCGTGTGTAAGAATTGAAAATACAGCCATGGATGTTCCCAAGTAACCTTGCCTTGAAATCCTCATACTGGCTCCACAGGTCAGTCATTAGTAACTGAAGTGATTCTTTTTTATATTTTTGCCTGGTGTTTAGGATGGTTTAGCTGTTTGCTTCAATAATCTGGTCTTTCGGACTTGTATTAAGTGCTGAGGATCTGGTAGGGGATCTCTCACATACCTTTATCTCATATGAAACAGCAATTCATTGTGAGTAATGGCTCAGTTGCCACCACCTACCACATATGCACCAACAACAGTACTTCACTGAAACCCACGTAGGCTGTTGTGCCTATTGGAGTGTGGGCATGGGGAGAAAGTGCAAAAGAAGAAGGATTAAGGTAAAAATAGAATAATTTTGAAGTAAAGAAGAAAAACCTGAATACAATGCTATTTTAGGTGATTCTAGGAGCTAGCCTTTCAAAAACTCATCTAATTTATATAATTTCAGGAAGGGCTTTGCTTTCTTTATCTGTCTTGTGTGCTCACCTACCTTCAGATGTAATGGGAATTTTCTGTTCACTGCATGTACTAGTAGAATTCAAAGGTGTTTGAAGATATAGAAGGCATTTAAATAAAAAAGAATCCAGAACATTCTGGTTGCTTCTCATTCTCTTACAAATATTTAGCGTTTCCTAAGTACAGCAAAGCTTTAACGCAAAATTGCAGGTCTGAGTTTGTTTTAATGGCATATAATGTGGGATTGCAAAGACTGAAAAATCTAGATGATTTTTGGGACAGGAAATACAGTTCTTTCATAAATATGGTGAGGTGAAGCTAATTCTTCAGTGCGTGTTCTTACGCATTCAGTAGGAACTCCTACACGTGGTCACTCAGGGCACTTTCTAGTTACTAAACAGCCTTTTTCCACTTAGGACCACAGAACCTCCCTGCACAAGGATAACAGCTTCTGACAGTGACAGAAATGTAGCCTGATATTCCCAGCCAGCTTCTCGCTGTGATACTGTTATATCACCTTTTATGTTCGGAATTCAAAACACTCTAAAGCTTCTCCTTCACAAATTCCATCTACTCTAAAGTGGTTAGAGTATCATAATCAATAAAACATACTAAGGTTCTATTGCAAGTTGTTTGACTATAAAAACAAATTAGTGTAAGAAGTTTTAAGGTTTTGTAATATTTATGATAAACTATTATCTGATTTTGGTAACCATGGGATTGTGCAACATCTAGCATATCACAGGTGTTACAGCAATATAATGTCTGTGGAACATTAGCTCCAAATTGTTGACTTTCAAATATTAGCGTGTTGTAATTCTGAGAACAAAATGCTTGAAGTATTATTAGTATTCACAGCCTTGATTTGGTTTTGGTTAAGTGAGTTTATCTGAATAAATAGCATGCTGAAAGAAGGAAGACTCAAATGACTGTCTTGATCTCAAGAGGAGTTCTGTGAAGGCAGAACTGCAGTGAATTCGCTTGGGTTCTGCAGTGGTTCAAAGATTTGCTGTGTAACCTACTGCAAAATTTTGTTTTTCTTTGTAATCTTAACAGCTTACATTTATTTTTTTCTCTCTATCATTTAAAGTATTTCTTATTCCGAGAATGCCCTTCTAGCAGTGACTAATTCTGATTCAGTGAAGGGCTATAGCAAAGGATTTAGTTATGGGAGAGGCTGGCTGAAAACAACATTGCATTGTGCAAAGTACAGTAAATACTGCTTTCATGTTGTGTAGTAGTGATTCAGTCACAACTTTCCTCCTGTCTTTGCAATATTTTTACGTAATAATTGTAAGGGCTGACTTAATTTTCAGAGTATGGGGTTGTTTTTTGTCTTAGCTTCCAAATTCAACGCAACATCGTGAGCAAGTCAGGCATGTATTGAAGTGCAACACTTCTGAAGTCTAGAGAAATAAGTGGATGAATTATTGTTCTGTTATCTCAACCTCATCTTTTCATGTATAGCTTTTATTTTTCTTGAGCAATGTCGCAGGGCTGTGCATGTGAAAAGCAGCTGCCTTCCATTCGGGGTGCAGGGGGTGCAGCCCCCTTGTAGCCATGTGAAAAATGTTCAATGGGTAGGTGTTCTTTTTGAAATCAGGTGTACGGGTTTTTAATCGGCACCATTTTCTTTTGCAAGAAGCAGTGACTGGAACCTGCTGATAAAGCTTTTGCTTTGAGGCACAGATCCCAGAGTTCTTAAAGCCGTTTTCTGCCTTAATAAGTGAAACTAATTTTTGATGTATAACATTTATAAGCCTGTGAAACTGATAGGGCAGCTTCAGTATTTAGAAAAATGAAGCCAAAAATAAACAGATGACTGAGAATGGGCAGTAGAAATATGTCCTAAAAAGCAAAGGAATGCTGAAGTGATGCTGTCAATATGCTATCGTCGTGACACAGTGAGGTTTTTTAAAATCACATTTCCTTAAAATCAGTGATGATTTGGCCAATATGCATAATCTAGCAGCTGTGAGAGAATCACTGAAATGCATATCCTTAACACCTAAACGATAATGCTTCAAGGTTTTGGATGTTTTGGTTTCCATATGGTACTTGTTGCAGGCTCTTTAAGGAAAATGTTGCTGTACTGCTCTAAACGAGGCTTTGGGCTGTATGTTAGCTGTTGCTTTCTGTTTGGCAAACACATGTGCTGATTTTGAAATAAACTGAGATAATTGAATAGAGTTCTCAAGGTTTTTAACTGTGGTGGTTACAACTTGGATACCTTGTGGAAGAAGCTCTACAATTGCTGGTGATTGTACAGGTGGATTTGCATGTAGCTTTTGGGACTGTGGCTAAAAATGTATGAAAATATATTTCAAGTAAGAATGGATTGTACACCTATGATGATGATAACCTAATCTCCTGGCTCACCTCACTAGTAAGTGTTACCCCTTGTCTTCTGTTGTCCCTGAAGCATGTCTTATGGGGGGTTCTGCTTCTCCAGGGAGTTACGGTTATCCCAAAATAATTATTATGTGAAATAATTTATGTGAAATTCTTCCTGAAACAATATGGCCATGTCTGGATTGTGCTGTCAGAATGACGTGGTCCATCAGTAACTGTCTGCTTCTTCAGCTATACTGTTTTTAGAACCCAGTCTAGCTTGAGCATCTCTATGCTGCAGTGCAGTCATGGCATAAAAGATCAGCACTGCTTTTGCTTGATGAACTTTTGTTGAATGTTTGCAGAGTGCAGGTGTCTCATATTGCTTAATTGTCGTAATTCACTGTGGATTTTCAACGTAGTGCAAGAGTAGAAGTTCTTCAGTACTAAGAGTAACCTGATACAGGCTTTACAAGAACAACTACTAAATCAGAATATGGTGGTACCCTGTAAGCAGTCAAGGTTCACTATTGTAATCCAGTTGCTTTCTTTGTTGCATGGTGTATCTTAGGTTTTCAGCACTGGCAGCTCCTCATGTTTTGAAATTCTGCATTCAAAATGTGGAATGGCATACCTGAAGCTATGGTTTGAACACTGCATTTGATTGTTTAATTTGGTACATGTCAAGATAAATGCTAGTGTTAGTGTGGGAGTCCTGAATCTTTTAGAATGAATTTTTTAGTGAGAATGAAGTTTGAGGATGTTTAACTGAATTACAATGGTGATTTTCTTGGGGATGCTCTGGGGTGACTGAGAGGAAATGGAAGCAGTACTTGGGTCTGTATACAGCAGAGGACTGACGCTTAGAATTGTGTCAACTTTTCTAGCAGTTTCAAAGAAACCTTTTTAGTGTAATACCTTGAAGTGTACTTCAGCTGTTACTGTTTGTGGGGCTCTGTCTGGAATGTTGAGTAGTTAGAGCACTGTGTCTGTGCGTTGTTGGAGGTGAGTATCCATTTGAGTAGGGATAGTGTGTGGAATTGTCTGGGAACTTCACTTTGCTAAGAACTGATTTCAGTTTGGAGTGATACTTTAAAGGTTCAATGACATAAGTCCAAAAGATTTTCCCCTACACCTTCAAATTGTCAGCCTGAAAATATTTTCTGGGCTTCTTTTTTCCTTTCGCAGTGAGAATTTTTCGTAGTACTTTTTCTTCCTGAGATCAGTTTGAATCCAGACTTTTTGGCTCTAACATTCTGAGAAGTGATCTGTCTAAACCTCAAACTTTGCATTTGCCTTGTTGTTTTCCTGCTACTGCCTGGTAAGTAGGTGCCACGTTGTCTAAGAGCACGTTAGCCTGGGGACTGAAACTTGAACACAGTAAAACCATGTTAGATTTACCTGTCAGAATGGAAGTTCAGAAATACTTTGTGATTTAGTACACCAAATTACTGAAATAGTTGTCAATCTCTGAGTAGTGCAGACTTCTTGACAGCGCTGTTTCTGTGTGCTTCGTGGCTTCTGGCATTTTGGTGAGATTTTCTTGTTTTGAAGCTGCAGTTTACACGAAAATGATGCTATTGTGATCAAGCTTAAATGAAAGATCTGCATCGTAATGGACCAAATTAATTATCTGCTCACTGGGATATCCTTTTCATTTCACAGAATTACTGGTTTTGCCCTCGTCATCACATTTTGTGTTACATCATTTTTGACCATTTTACAGTGTTCAAGTTAGTGTTCATTGTAAGTAACTTCTAGCTATATCATGGGATGAGCAAGATTGTATGTTTTCACAAATTAAGAACCTTTCTCTTAGTGTTTTTTTTGTCTTGTGAAGCTGGGTAGGTCATACATCATAATTTCAGATAGGCTGTAGTGTCTTGAATTGCTTGCTCTTCCATAATAGAGCTTCATTTCTAAATTCTGTGCAAAATTCATGATTTTATTGTAGTACTTTTAGCTACCTGAGGAGATTGATGCAGT